AAAGTGTTTCCTATTGTTAATATTACTAATCCAAAGTGCCACCTTGTGGTTAGGGTTGGTGTTGTACGTGTTATTCCTGCAATCATTGCCAAACCGTTTAATATCCAATGGCATGGCTAATTGGTTAATTAAAAGGCTAATTTGAATATTAGCATACAGCATACTGAATGCAGCCTGAAGCTGATAAAATAATGAGTCAAAATCACAGATGATATTATTTCTGATAATATATACTTGTCCTTCTTGACCTGAGTGCGGCCTTTGATACTATCTCGCACAAGATACTCCTGGACAGGTTAGTTTCTATAGGGATTACTGGCACCCCACTGTCCTGGTTTAGATCCTATCTTACCGGTCGCAGTCAGCATGTTCAAATTAAAAATTTTAAATCAAGACCATCTACAGTTACTACTGGTGTCCCTCAAGGTTCTGTTTTGGGCCCATTCTTGTTCATCATCTATTTACTTCCTCTTGGCTATATTCTCAGGAAATATGGTATCCATTTTCACTGCTATGCCGACGACACCCAGCTCTACTATGACACCCAGCTCTACCTGTCTTCTAAACCCTCTAGCTCTTTTCCTCCACCTTCCTTGACTAGATGTTTAGCTGAAATTAAAGACTGGCTTTCAGCCAACTTTCTAAAACTCAACAGTGATAAAACTGAGGTCTTACTTATTGGTAAAAAATCTACTTTGACTAAATATGATTGTTTACTTTGACTAAATATGATTGTTTTACAGTGGATATCGATAATAATGCAATTTGTCCTTCTCAGCAGGTTAGGAGTTTGGGTGTCGTTCTGGATAGCACACTTTCTTTTGAAGCTCATGTCAATAATATTATGCGTACTATGTATTTTCACCTGCGTAATATTAATCGTCTTCGTCCCTCTCTCACAACGAATAATACTGCAATTCTTATTCATGCACTGGTTACCTCACGTATCGACTATTGTAATGCTCTCCTTACTGGTCTTCCGTCTAAACTTCTTTATAAACTCCAATTGGTTCAGGACTCCGCAGCTCATGCTCTTTCTAGGACTTCATCAATAGAGCACATTTCTCCAGTTCTCCAATGTTTACACTGGCTCCCAGTAAAGTATCGCATTGATTTAAAAATTTTGCTTCTCACATTTAAGGCACTTCACAACCTTGCTCCACCGTATCTTACTGACCTTCTCCACATCTACACTCCTCCTCGCACTCTCAGATCTTCACACTCGATCTCTCTTGTGTCGCCGCGTATACGTTTAAGCACCATGGGAGCAAGAACTTTTAGTTTTGCGGCCCCTCGCCTATGGAACTCTCTTTCCCCCAATACGGAACAGTGACAGCCTTCATACTTTTAAATCTCATCTTAAGACTTATTTTTACCCAGGCTTTTTTATGACTTGCTCTAATGAATTGCTCTTATTATTGCTCTTCTAAGCCTTTATTGTATTTATGATGTATGCAGTTGTGCTGTTGAATTTTGTAATGCTGGCAGGACTTGTTTATTTATTGTTACTGTTTTTACTAGTTTGCTTGCTGTAAGGTGACCTTGGGTGTTTAGAAAGGCGGCATTAAATAAAATGAATTATTATTATTTCTAGCTCATTCATCACACTAAAAATAAGTGCACTGTGCATACAGCCGTGTGCTCTGTTGTATTTGCATATTCTGTGTATTCAGAAAATTGGCATTATGTGCATTGTATCCATACACCACAGAAATAGTAGTATGGTGGTGTGATATTCCAAACAAGCAACTGCTATTGGAATAAAACACAGATCTATGGAAATATTTGGTCAAGATTGCACAAATTTTGTTTGTATTTTTAAGTTCTTCTTAGCACATATAGTTAAAATGATCTTTACGATCCCTGTAAGCACAATGAGATGTTAGACAAAGTTCTTTAATTTAATTGTTTTCTTTCATTTCCCAGACTTTGCTGCATTAACTGGCTCATTGAAACGACCGGGTTTATCTCATCCAGTGGTTGGCAGCATCCGTGGACTCCATAGTCCGATCTCCTCAGGTTTGAATCCTGAGGGCATCTATGTTTGAGGACCATAAATCACTTCAGTAGATGCAAATCAGATTTTTAAAAACCTCTCTATATATGTTTTAGACTGAATTAATTTTATTTGCTGCTACTTCAAGCTAAACGAATTTGCTCAGCATGAAGGAGAACGTCAGTGGTATCATGAACACCTCTCAATCAGTTTTTCAATTCCCTATCATAATACTTGATCTTGATCACAAAGAGCTGCATACCATTTCAAATACAAACAATAAGTATGCTGATTTTCATATGTATAGTATCATTGTAGTGTCTACTGTTAGAAAGTGGTACCTGTAACCTTGTCACATACAAAAAAACTAGTAGATGAAGGATGAATTACTTTGGAAGCATAAATATATTTTTGTATTCTTATTTTAGTCTCTAAAAACATTTGTATGAATGTGCAACTTTCAATCTGACCTGTGATATATATATATATTTTTTATACTCTGGTTGGTTTATCCGTTTGTATAAGTGTTTTACTATGTTGAGCCAAAGACAATCACCTTTTTCAGTTGCAATATGTTACTGCACGACTGCAAAATATTGTACTCCTTGTAGGGCTGCACGATTATGACAAAAATCATAATTGTCGATTCCCATAAAATTGTAATTGCGGTTATTAATTATGATTATCACAATTTACATTGAATGATGTTTATACCATTGTTTGAAGCAACTGCATGCCATAAATTTACATGAAAATAAACAAGCTGAAAAACTTTTATTGCTTTTCTATAGTATTAAGCCTCAAATGTCAACTATACATTGATTTGGTTTCTTTTTTAAATATAAAAAAAAGGAAAAAATATGCATGGTATTATAATGTGATACTAAAACTAAAATTAAAACAATGGAAAAACCCTTAAGATAACCTGTCGAAAGAAAAAAACACATCTTAAGCACGCAGAATAATATTAGTGGATTTTGAACGATTAATTGCTGCTTTGAACGATTACGTAATTGTGGCATCCGTAATTGTAATCACGATTAGGAATTCGATTAATTGTGCAGTTCTAACTCCTTGCTTTAATTTAGCTAATGTCATTATTGTTGAACTATGCATACATTTAATTGATACTGACAAATACAAAAGTATTATTGCTTGAAAATGTACTTTTACTCTTAAAGGAATAGTTACCAACAATTAAACTGGGAGATTTTTTTTTTTAAATGTCTCGTTTTGAGAGAATTTTTATTTTGGGTGAACTATACCTTTGATGTTATTATATATTTGTTTTATATCATTTGTTTGTTTCAATATATGAAATCACAGCTATTTAACTGAAAGTAGTGCCTTACTGAAATTCAACCCAATCCATGTTAGTATCAACTTTAATGATGGTGCAAGCACGTTGACTCTGTGAATTAAATTTCAGTATTTTCAGTGTATATATAAAATATATTATGATGTTTTATGCTCAGACTTTGCTCATATGGCGTCTTGTACATATGGCTGCATTTAATTTCAGTAGATTTTGGGGTATTTAAACTTGTTTTTAATTGATTCCTACAGTCAGCATGTACTATAATTTTTGTAAACATAGAAAAGCTTCATATAAACTCCTAGAAAGTCTATATGTAGTACTGTGAATCACTATTAAACCCAAATCACCCCATATGAATGCTTCTTATTTTACAACATAACCCTTGTGAATAATACATACAAAGTCAAGTGTAACAGCAAAAGAACAGAATTGGCACCTGATTAAAATGAAAGGTAAGCCACACTTGTGTGTCCAGCTTAGTGCTACTAACTCTCAGGAATGGGCGGACAAGTCCCTCATGTTGTGAAGGCCACCATCCCAGAGTATGTGGGGTTTAACTACAGCCAGTATGGGGCTGCAGGGAGCTCCAGCCAGACAAAATGCCTCATCCACATCCAGACCCCATTCCCGAAGAGTTTTCAGGGCAGACGCACAGACGTTTGTAGAGCCCCATGCTGTTAAAACACAAATGCAGAGAAGGCTGTTCTCTTGCCCAAACTTCCTCCTCATCTGACCGATCAGAACGACGAACTCCTTCATGCAGATCTGGTAACATAAGACTAGGTTAATTTGACAAATGAAGCTTAAAGGGGTCATATGATGCTGCTAAATTCTTTATGCACCAAGAGCTTGTAACACTCCAAAGAGAAAGGAACGTGGTTGGAACACTGCCCTAATCCCTTTAAAGGGTTTAACCCTCCTGAGTGAAAGCTCCGAAAGGATGAAACTGTTCCCTGGAATGCACTTTTGCATCATTTTGCTGAGCCAATTAACCTGAAATAGTCAAGGGCCCTTAGAAGTGGACATTTTTGAGCACTTTGGTTTGGAACGACCGTTCAATGTGGCGGCCATGGTTGTTCTCACACCGTGCCCTTTGGAGGCAGATCTATCCCACTTGGAACACAGTGAATGACTGTTATGCCCACAGCATAAATCCAGGAACGGGAGGTAACAAGTAAAAAAACGATCACTTTTGGGTGAACTATTTGTTTAATTTAATATGGAGATAAACAGCGAAATAACAATAGTTATTTAATTACTCACCCTTATAGTTGGAATATATAAAATGTTCTACATTACTGAACAAGGATTTAAACAAATAAATGACGTTAGACATTAAAATGATAAATACATTTTCTTCAAGAGGACTTTCCACAGTATCAGGTTACCATTAATATTTAAACAGTAGTGTGGCAAGACTGGTTTCTGTTTGTATGTTTTCACTGCTCATCACAGCAGAACATACAGTATTTCAAGAGCAAGAAGGAAGCTGTTCATGCATTGACTTCTATCAGCACTTAATCAACTGTGATATTTAGCTCTTCCTTAAGAATGTATTTGAATATCTTAAATCTGACTGTTTGTGTTTCTTCCTCCAGACCAGTTGAGTTTCACATGAGGTGTTAACCTAGTCCTCTAAAGGCATATGCACAGGCAGTTTTGTGTATTATTGAGGTGTGGCAGGTGCCGAACATTTCTTTCTATATTGAAAGAACACTTTGAGGAGAGCTGCCTAGTCTTTGTTTCCAACTACTTTTGGATTCCAGCACAAGACAATGACTTAACTGTTTAATACTGCAGAACTGGACAAGACAACAGCTGGAACTGGGAGTGGAGGGTAAAAACGGCAAGTTGAGTTATTGTGTATTTTAATTCCCTTTCTAGACAGGTTTCAGCTGGATCCAACAAGTTCTGGTTAAGTGTTGAGTATAGTGCTGTGACTCTGTAAATAAAAAATACATGTTGGGAGTATTTGTTATATTGGATGACATTTAGCAAAATTAACAAGATATAATGTTAATGGGAGCATATCTGATACTGGGCTGGCAAAAAGTGGACATACAGTCAAATCAAAAATTATTCAGACACCAGATATAATTGTTGATTTTTTTTTTTACTAGTGGGTGCAGGACACTATAGTTCATTTATTTAAGTGAGGTTAGCAAAATAAAGTAAACTGTGACATATTATACCCAAAAATTCTTCATACAGTGGACTATGAATAAAAAATTTAGGACCAAAAATTATTCATTCACTTTGACCTGACCACGTTTTGCTTAAGTGGTATCTGACATTATCAAGATGAATTTGTTCTGACACAGTTTAACTCCGAGTTCTTGTCGTATTTTATTACCATTTTCTAAATTATAGCCAATAAACTATTATAATGTGTGAAATGTTGAAGATGTCTTAATAAATTTTGGTTTGACTGTATAATATTGTGGGTTTAACTGCTACAGAGTCAGAAGTCCTTTCTGTGTGGAGTTTGCATGTTCTCCCTGTATTGCAGTGTATTTCCTGAATAAGCAGTGATTGTGAATGTGTGTGTGTGTCCTGGTATTCCCTACATTATGGGAACCGAATGTCCCCACAAGTACATTTTGAACTTGTGGGGACATTGTTTTAGTCACCATGAGGAAACAAGCTTATAAATCATACAATTAAGTTTTTTTTTTTTGAAAATCTAAAATAGGAGAACGTTTTGTGTGAGGGGTAGGGTTGAGGTAAGGGGACAGAAAATACAGTTTGTACAGTAGAAAAGCCATTACGTCTATGGAATGTCCCCATAAAACATGGAAACCAGTGTGTGTGTGTGTGTGTGTGTGTGTATCTGTTTTTCTATTCCGGTGGGGACTTAAACCTGAATACACACAGACTCATGGGGACTCGTGTCACGGTGGGGACCTAAATTGAGGTCCCCACGGGTAAACAAGCTAATAAATCACACAGAATGAAGTTTTTTGAAAATCTAAAAATGCAGAAAGTTTCCTGTAAGGGGTAGGTTTAGGGGTAGGGTTGGTGTAGGGCAATAGAATATACGGTCGGTACAGTAGAAAAACCATTACGCCTATGGAGAGTCCCCACAAGGATAACAAACCAGACATTGTGTGTGTGTGTGTGTGAGAAAGAGAGATCTGTGATGGACTGGCTATCCTTCCAGGGTGTTTCCATGCCTATGGCCTGAAACACTGAGATGGCTCCAGCATCCCCGTAAATCTGCACTTCTTTCCCTTTGTCTTTTTGTGATTTTTAATGTTGTACTTACTATCTCTACCTCTCTTTCTCTCTTCATCTTTATCCCTCTCTTTGTTTTGTAGAGTGTCTCTCTTTCTCATTCATATTTTCACCACTGTCATAAAAAAGATTTAAAATGTCATAAAAAGTGTAGGATTGCTGAATGACTAAAGAAACGTTATCAGCACCTAACAAAAGTTTAGGCAGCTACTCTTCAAAGGCAAAAAGTTGGATGTTGAAAATACTGAATTGCATGAATCGTAATAGAAGACGGAACTGAGATAAAGAACAGACTCTTGTTTTACTGAATGATTAAAGCCTCAATATTTAGTGGGCAGTGACTTCCTTCCCCTCTCTGTGGCTCTGCGTGAAAGGTTTAGGAACGTGTTCATACTATTCAGAATATTATTCTTTATGTTTTAAACTACAACTGAGGAGCCACTATCCCAAAGGATCTAATTTTACAACAGTAAGTGACACTATAATCCTCTGTTTTTATATTGAAGTTCACTTATTTCATGTAATTGTGTTTTAATGCTCAGTTTGTAGCTATTTTGTGCCGCTTTTGATTATAGTTCCATTAGATTAGTTTTGTTTATATCATTTTCAGGCATAATCGTGTCTTTTGTTATTGTTCTGCACTATTTACACTTTTTTTTTGGTTTTTGTTTTTCTCGAGAAACTGGGACTTGGACTATTTAAGTACTTTACTGTTGAATTGCATCAGTCTTGTTTGTGAAAATGTTGAATGTTGGAATGACAGCAAATGTTTTGACTGTATTCTCAAGGCAGCACTGTTCCATTTTTAAGACTGTTTCACTGAAAAAGAATGTTATCTGTACACTTTAAGCACACCCAGTTTTAATGGACTGCAGATGGCTGTCAACACATGTTTAACTTTGGTGGTGACGACATCCTCTTTTTGTCATGCAACCGAGAGTTTAATGTGTTACTAACCGCTTGTTAATTCGTGACGTAAGGAACGCCGTTTCCGGGTCCAAGCCTCCACTCGTTTCAATTGAGAATACCATCTCGACGGCCGTTTATGAGCACTGTTTATTCATATTACACATTTAAGCTAAACTTTTAAAAAGCTTAGAGTGTACACTACAGTCTCTGTGCTCACAGCATCACAGATATGAATATTTGAACAATTTACAAAAGATGAATCACTGTATGGCCATCTGGGATTTTGGTATGGAGATAAAGGTTATGATTATAATTTTTTGATAGTATTACACCACATTGTCTGTGTAAATTAGCACCGTTTGTTGTTTTCTTGTGGAACGAGATAGAGCGTTTGGACCTGGAAGCGGTGATGCTTAACAAGCGGATACAGTTAAAACCTTATGGCAGACTTGTAACATCTAAGCCTTTTTTTCAGTTGCAATTGTATTTACTTGTTTTGATTTGTCTCTAAATTTGACTTTATTAAAAGGATAAGTTATGGAACCACAGACTTTTTATATAAAATCAGAATTGCGAGATATGAACTCAGAATTCTGGATTTTTTTCTCACAATTCCAAGTTTGCATCTCACAATTGTGAGTTTAAATCTCATAATTCTGCCTTTTTTTCTCAGAATTCTAAATTGACATCTTGCAATTCTTGCTATTTTGTTTGCTTGCTTGTTTTTATTTTGTTTGTTTTCACCACAGAATAAAAAATAAAAAGGTAATTGCAACATTTTATCTCACAATACTGACTTTTTCATCTCAATTCGCTTATATCTTGCAATTCTGAGAAAAAAGTATGAATTTTGAGATTTAAAATCACAATTAAGTTATTAAATTTTTTTTATTCCATAGCAAAAATGACCTTCATTAGGGATAGTTCGCTCAAAAATTAAAACTCAGCCATCATTTGTTCATCTTCAGTTTTCCAGTGGAACACAATAGGAGATGTTTAGCAGAATGTGTATAGAATGTATGACTTCACAGTACGGACTCCTAATTATATTTACCAAGGGTTTGAAATGACATACTGACAGAATTTCCATTTTTGGGTCAACTATTCCTACAATTGTTAGTAAACTGCTCCCTTCAGGCTGACTAAAGTGTTGCACAACCATTCTAACCAGTAGGGGCCGTCACAAAACAAGGTAACTAACTATCTTTTGTATGTATATTTCCAGTGACCCACTGGCCCCATCCATTTCACCATGACACCAAGACCAACATTAAAACCAACTAAAACACTTCACACCAACACCACAACAGCTGCTCCAGGCTTCCTGCCCTCTTTCCTGGACAGGATTCCTTGTGAGTATATCATATGAATCCTCGTTTCAGCACTTGCTCCACAGGCCCTGATCTAATTCCGCCCCTTGCACACATTTCTTTCTACTCAATTTTCACTTGTTACAACTTTGGCTTGCCTTAAGGTCTCACCTCATCCATCAGATGTGTGTCATGGTGCTATACTGGACCGCTACTGTGATGTGTGATGGAATATTGTTGTTTTTGCCACAACAGTGCCAAGATGGGCCATCTATGCTATATTTGCTGCCGTCATCCTGCTTATTCTTATCTTTGTGATATGCTGCTGTGTAAAATGCTGCTGCAAAGGGAAAAAGAAGAGGAAGAAGAAGCTGGACCAGAAGATCAGTATGAAAGGGATCTCAGGAACTACAACCGCAGCACTGGTGAGAGATGGGTCATCCATGCTTGGGAATGCTGGTTAAATTGTTCTTCTAGTCAGAAAAAAGGATGAAATGAAGAGCAAATGGAAGCTTCTCACTTAATCTCACATGGGTCTCCTTTAGAGTTTTAGAAGAGATCTCAACATCAAATCTGATTTTCCAAGAAACAAGTCTTTGAAAGTCCAAGATAGTAACTTAAACATTTCTCATCAAATGCTTCAATGCTTTTAACATTGCTTTTATTGCCCTATAATCTTGCAATATATCAATAATTAACTCATTTGTGCCTATGTTTTTTCTTCTTCTAAGAAATTTTAAAGGCAAGGTGTGTAATGTTTGCACTAGTGTGACAAAATAAAAATTCCTCAAACACTCCCATCATCTGCTATTGGTTGAAAAAAACATCCAAATCCCGTCTCCAAACTCACACCATTGGCTGCCATTGTTGACATGGTCCTTTAAAGGAATAGTTCATCCAAAAATTTAAATGTGCTGAACATGTACTCGTTCAAGACGTAGATGAGTTTTTCTTCATAGGAATAGATTTGGATAAATGTAGCATTCCATCACTTGCTCACCAGTGGATCCTCTGCAGTGAATGGGTGCCGTCAGAATGAGAGTCCAAACAGCTGACAAAAACATCACAATAATCCACTCCAGTCCAACAATTAACATATTGTGAAGTGAAAATCTGTGTGTAGTTGCTTCTGGCCAAAATACAAGTCTATCCATATCAATGTTTCCTCCAGTGAAAAAGTCCATTGTCTCTCTAACCAAAATCCACCTACATATTTTGGACTGTTTTGGCTTGTGAATGGTGCTTGATCTGTGCATATTTCTCTACTGATTTAGACTAAAGAACCTTTTCACTGGACAAAGCAATATTATAGATAGAGGACTCGTATTTTAGCCAGAAGCAACGGTTTGAAGTTAAAAATGTGTTAATGATGGATTTGTTTCTTACGAACGCACAGATTTTGTGGATTACTTGTGGATTATTGTGATGTTTTTATCAGCTGTTTGGACTCTCATTCTGACGGCACCCATTCACTACAGAGGATCCAGTGGTGAGCAAATTATGCAATGCAAAATTTCTCCAAATCTGTTCTGATGAAAAACAAACTACATCTTGTATGGCCTGAGGGTGAGTACATTTTCAGCAAATTTTCATTTTTGGGTGAACGGTTCCTTTAAGTTTCCTAAGCTGTGAAAGTCTAACTCTGAACAATAAAATATTCCTCTGGGTGGCGTTCACTAATGGGATACTGGATGTACTGACAGGTCCAGCCTGAGACAGAGGATGCAGAGTATGGATCAGCTGACCAGCAGAGAGGAAAACTGCAGTACTCACTGGAGTTCAACACATCCATATCAGAGGTCACTACATCTCTTTCACTGATTTTACAGCAGTGCCCTCAACTGGCAGGAAGTATAAACAAATTATTCCTAACTTCCATCCATTTACTTCATACATCTCTGTTCATTCCAAAATGCCAATATCCTCAATATTATAAAGCAAGTTTGTACTTTTAGAATAATAGCAAAATTATTGAAACTATGAAATAGAATTATAGAAACTAAGTAGTGATCAAAAGTATTAAACAAGTCAGAATTACCTTATAGTTAATCTTCTTCACCAAAGTCATCATTATTTGTCTAGATTGATTTTCTCCGGTCGTTCAAGACATTCTATCAATTAACTTGAGGTGCATCTTTTTATTTAAAGTCTACATGAACTTGTGATCGGCTTTAAAATGGAAATTTGGAATATTGGAATATTGAATGAAGAAAAAATTAATGTCAGGGCTACGGGAACACCATTCCAGGGTGAAGAAGCATACATACTTTCACAAAAAATTAACTATAAACTTTAAAAAAATATTATTGTGGATTAATTTTCATGGATGAATTGTTCAGCACAAGCCTAGTAATGTGCACTAACAAAGTAAATAGGGTCCGTTTTGAATTCATGTGGACTTTAAGAATATGCTTTTAGATTAAAACTGTTTTTAAGATCATAATATTATATGTACTGTACCATATTTCTCATCAGCTGACTGTAGGGATAAAAGAAGCTGCTGCTTTGAAAGCGATGGACTCAGGAGGGACATCTGACCCTTATGTGAAAGTCTACATCCTTCCCAACAAGTCCAAAACATATGAGACGAAAGTCTTCAGGAAAACCCTAAACCCAGTGTTCAATGAAAATTTCAAATATCAGGTAAACCATGCAGCATATGAAATCATTCATTATCATAGGGGGAATAGATTAATGTTAGGAAAACAGTCTGTTGTCAGCTCAAACAATGACCTGATGAGGTCAAGATCAAGCTCATTAAAGTGGAGTTGTTAAATGTACAGCCTATTTACAGTAACAAAACACTGATTTGTTGTTTTCCTCGCTTGTAGATCCCTCAGAAGGAGTTGACTGAGTCGATACTGGTGATGCAAGTCTATGACTTTAACAGATTCTCCAAACACGACATGATCGGTGAGATCAGACTGAATCTGTCCACTGTGGACTGGAATCATGTGATTGAGGAGTGGAGAGATCTGAGCGAAGCTTCCAAACATGAGGTTCAGTTCAGTCAAATACGTTGTCGAGTTCAATGTATTTTTTCATGTAGTTAGTTCACATAAATTATATCTATATGCAGTGCAAAGTGTCATTCTCTAAAAACTGGAAATCAACTGGAAGTCCCAAAAAGTTATTTTGCCCCTTCTTTTACTATTGCTGCGGTATGGATGATGCTCCTACAAAATGGCTTATATTTTAAATCTTGAGAGAACGAAATCTTTCTATCACTACATGACAAAGCAAATGGATTTTGTTTCCATCACGTCACCATAGAGCATCATGTAAAATTACAGTGAGTCCCCCTGGAGCAACCTTATGTCCCCCACTCAATGGCACAATGGTGACAAATCGAAATCTACCATCTTTGCTTGTGAGCACTCAGTTCTTAACACAATTTACATCATGACCCCTGCAAGTCAAGACTGAAAATCCAGATTCCCTAAACAAGGCTCTGTAGGCAAAAGAGCATTCTCCATGCATAATGTAACTGCTACATCTTACATAATGTGTCCATTTTTGCAGCAAGAGCATCTGGGAGAGATCTGCTTTTCTCTTCGTTATGTCCCCGCTAGTAGTAAACTCACTGTGATCATACTGGAAGCCAAGAACCTGAAGAGGATGGACCAGGGTGGCTCTTCAGGTGACATACTTACTAAAATATCCTACATCCTCTAAAGTGTAGTCTGCAATCACTACTGACAGAAACAAAACTTCTCAAACACTAGAAATAGTAACATTGGCTCACAGGAAAAATGTGCCTCTACCTTCAGTTTTGCAAAACGTACCAATACATTTACAATTCACTGCAGTTTCCAGATAAAATGAATACTAGTGGCAGTAAAACACCTGAATTGCTTTTCTGACAATAGTAAACTTGCTCGGTAGCTCACCTGGTACAGCACTGCATTTGCGATGAAAAGCTCGGGTACGAGTCCTGTGAAACATACATGAGTCACGATAAAAGAGTTCACGGACTTGTAGAAGCAAGCTAAAGCGGCAAAACATTGCCAAATACAAGCTCATCTGTTTTAGATGAAACTGAATGTGCTTTTAGCGCCACTTACTGGACATTTCACTTTGAGCGTGTTGTGAAGCATGGAAGAATTAGATTTTGTAGAAATGCTGCTACAGGCAAAAAAAAAGAAAAAATGTACTTGTGTTATTCCAATGCCAAAGTGTTTTCAGCCATAGCATTATTTCAAGTAGCTATAGAGAGTGTGTTTCGCTTTGAAATGTTCTGTTTTTGTTTTGTAGACCCTTATGTGAAAGTTCAATTGATTCTGGATAAGAAAAAGTGGAAGAAGAAGAAAACATCAGTGAAGAAGCAGACACTGAATCCATACTTCAACGAATCTTTCACTTTTGAACTGTCATTTGAACAGATTCAGGTGAGAGAAGCCTAGAAACTGGTTGCTTAGATGAATTAAGCGTCCAATGGAGAATAAATTGACAGCATTTGCTGTGATCTTACGGAGCCATTGTGATGTTTATCCTCAGAAGTATCTGAACATTTCTCTATTAGATTGTTTGATTTTCGTTGGTTTGATTTGTGTCTGTGAGAAAAAAAATAGGGTTGTAATATCAGAATTTCATTCTTACATGATTTCAACCTCGTCAAGTAACTTATAATGCGTATAACTGTTTGTTTCGCTCATTATCCCTCATACAGAAAGTCCAGCTGGTCATCTCTGTGTGGGATCATGACAAAATGAGCAGAAATGATGCGATCGGCAAGATCTATCTGGGCTGTGATGCTACAGGAAACCAGCTGCGTCACTGGGCGGATATGCTGTCCAACCCACGCAAGCCTGTGGCTCAGTGGCACACGTTACTCTCCTCTGAACAGGTGGACACAACACTGGCCTTGAAACACACGCTAAAGATCCCATTCACAAACAAAACCTTCTGAAAAACCTCCATTCCCATTTCTTTGTAACAATGTTCACAAGAATTTCAATAAGTTATACTGGAGTGTAATGCCCAGACTAGAGACCAATAAGAATATATCTGATTTCTTGCCATTCTTTTTCGTTTATTTATAACAATACATAAGCATTTCATTACTCTCTCCTATGTTGTCTTCTTCATCATTTGTAGCTATTAGCTAGTCCAATATTTTAGTCAAACATTCATATGAAAGTAAATCTATTTATAAGAATGATTTTCTTAAGAAAAGCTCATTATTTGTAGTTAAAGGGGTCATGCGATTTCAATTTTTCCTTTCTCTTTGGAGTGTTACAAGCTCTTGGTGCATAAAGAAGATCTGTAAAGTTGCAAAGACTAAAGTCTCAAATCCAAAGAGATATTCTTTATAAAAGTTAAGAGTCAGCCACGCCTACTGCTGTTTGCCATGTTTTCAAATCAGATATAACAATACATCCATTTTATTTGTTGTATTTAGCATAACTTTATCTGTAAGATTGATGTAATGCTGTCACATCACCCTAATTTTTTATTAAATGATCTATTACTTCCCCATATATGTATTAGTTAGCCACTATTCACTATTTAGAGAAATTATACTGAATTTTACAGTTTTGTTGTTTATATAAGTTATGAACATGTTTTTAAAACCAGCAAAAACCTTCTCATGTTTTGAAGTTTGGGATAAAATGATGACTGAATTTTTTTGAGATTTTGAAACTGCAGACACGAGACAGTTGTATCAGGTTTGGTGAGTTCACACACACACACACACACACACACGAGCATGCTGATTTCTCTTGTGACTACAGTAAGCACTAGATAAGGGTATGAATATCAGGCTGTCAGCACACATGTGGGCCAATTACACCGTTATAATGAGATTTCTTCCTTTGAGCAAGTTTAAAGAATGCTAAAGGCTGGAGAACTCATTAGTTGCTTTTGCACAGTCATGTTTTAAACACTGAGGTACATTTTGAAATATAATTCAGAACACATTATTTTGTCATCAACAAGCACACTGGAAAATTGTTGTGCACTTTTTGTACCTTCTTCAAGGTGTCCTTTGATTTATATACTGTATATTGTTTTTGTATAAAATCAATTAAATGTTTCATATCTAAGTTATGTTGCTTTTATTCAGCAAGGATGCATTAAATTGGTCAAAAAGTGACAGTATGTTGATCATGTGACACTGAAGACTGGCGTAACGATGCTGAAAATTTAGCTTTGCATCACAGGAATAAATTACATTTTAAAGTATATTCAAATAGAAAACAGTTACTTTAAGTTGTAATACTATTTCACAATATTATGTTTGCAATGTATTCTTAATCAAATAAATGCAGACTTGATGAGCACAAGAGACTTCTTTCAAAAACATTACCATTGCTTATGTAAGATTCTTTTATGCATGTATTTTCTTTCACAGCCTGAGCCACTCCAAGTGAAAATGGCTCCATAGAAAAGAACAATATAGACCACTTACAGCTGATTTGGCAGCGATTTCCATTCTTCATTTCTCTTAACCATCACAAAAGCAGGCGCACTGCAGGTTTATGATCAGCAGAGATAGTAAACACTGTTGACATGACCTTTAGAGTCTCGAGATCAGAGTGGAGCTTTCATCTCCGATCAAAGGGAATATTCCTGCTAGCTTACCATGCTGTGCAGGATACATCCACGCTGCATTTACTGGATAAAAAATAGAGTAAAAACAGTAATACTGTGACATATTATTACAATTTAAAATAGCTGCTTTATATTTGAACATATTTTAAAATGCAGTTTATTCCTGTGATGCAAAGCTGAATTCTAATATATCTTGAAATGCAGTTCATTAATTGCTCAGAATTGTTTATGTGTGTGTTTTTGATTGGGGTCTGCAACGACTGACATCACATGTAGGCCTACTTCGGCTACAATACAGCCATACAAGGTAATCCAGTTATGAATGATTCAGTCCTAAGTACCTTTATAAAACACATCTTCTCATTTGCATGTCTCACGGCTCTAATTGAAATCTTGTTCTTTGTAGTCAGGAGACCACACCTCTGAAACAGGTGGGAATAATAGAGTGTGCGTTTGTGACCGACACCGACCGACAGACCGACACTTTGTTATGTAAATAAAGCCTTATACCACCCACTGGTGTTAGGCCACATTTTATCCAGCGTTTATGAGGGTCTGTTACCAAGCGGCCTCATTATTACAATGTTTGTTGAACAGCCACTGAACATCCATTTAGGCGACATGTCCGTTGTCAAGGCACTTTGATTGGCTTTGTTGACATCTAACCCTCAAATTACAATATGGCTACTAGTTCATTTCTGATCTAAACAATTAAAGGACTGAATTCTGAAAGGACCCTTGCTGTGAAATATTGCTGTTGAATGGAGTTACCGGTGTAGTTTTGTTGCTAAAGAGCAGCGCATGACGTCAGGATCTGGAGGGGTTTCCTAGATACTTGCAGCAACCTGAGCCGGTCTCTGATTATCCTGAGCACAGATAACAAGCCGTCACAAGCAGTTTTAGCCTTCTGACATCAGCATCTGTAACAGAAACACAATGAGGTAAGAGGTTTGGTTTATTCAAGAGGTTTTCTTTCTTTTGTACACTGCTTTGCACATGGAATTGGACAATGAGTCAGTAACAAAAAAGAAGTATCTTCCCTGATAGCACGCATATATCACGGAGATGTCTGTTTGATGTCTGCATTTACATCTGCAAGACGTGTTTGCTCATCTACAATACGTCTATAGGATGTTTCCTATCAGATGTCAAAAAGAGACGTTTAGAAAATGTCTTTAAAGGGGTCATATGATGCTGAAAAAAAGAACATTATTTTGTGTATTTGGTGTAATGAAATGTGTTTACGCAATTTAAGGTTCAAAAAACACATTATTTTCCACATACTGTACATTATTGTTTCTCCTCTATGCCCCGTCTTTCTGAAACGCATCGATTCAGAATTGAAATTGCATCATATGACCCCTTTAAGATGATTAAGACTGACATCTTAGAGATGGCTATCAGATGTTTGTACACAGCAGATGCTTTCCAGATGAAGCGATCTTTAACAGATGTCTTGCAGACGTACATGTGCTATCTGGGTTGGTATGGTACTGTGGTTATACTACGGTATCTGTGAAGTTGGAGTACCCTGTAAATTATGGTGTGTTAATATGGCAATCATTCAGTACTGTGTTATAAGGGAAACGGAGGTAGTTGTATATTTTACAACAGTAAATATTAGTAGGTTTATGAATTTGTTCATGTAAAGGCTACAAAAAGTATTCAAAACTATTCCCTAGTACTGGGGCATGTGTTGTCACAATTTGTTTTTTAACAGCCTATTTTTAGGCCACATTTACTACATACTACAATAAATATATATACTACAACTAAATAGACTAAATGTACACTTGCCTATATACATTAATAGGCTAAATTCTATTCAAGAAGATGTTATTTGTCAACTACCCACTTTAGCCAACACATGAACTACTTTTCCCATGAAGCTCAGCTCGTCGCTTCCGTGACGTCGTTTGTCCACGTGAGCTTCATTCAGCTGAGCGCTGCAAAGATGAATGGCTGGGGTTTGTTTAAACAATCTTACGCTTCATATATTTCCTGCTCACAAATGTTATAAATGTCTTGTATGTGTATCTTCTGTTTGTTGCTCTCTGGTGTTTTGAGTCGCGTGCATGCAGTGAAAACACACAGCCATCCGGATGAAGCTGTACAAACACATCTGATGAGACATGAACGCTCATTTAACGCAGTGATGATTTTTCCGTTTATATAATCATGCCTGCGCTCGGCAGCATGAAACCAGCATTTGATCGTGAAATCAGACTGAAGTCCTGGAATGCTTGAGCGCGGGGGTGTCTGTCTGTCTGTCCCCTTCACTGCAGTCACACATCTGACCAGCATATGCATGCCTCACACTGCAAACATCTCTTTGAGAAATAAATGGCTTTGGAAATGTTATTTGAATTGTTTACAGGGGGTGGAAGATGGAAACGTTGGAAAAATGGAGCAGAGACATCATGACACCTCATCAGCCGGATAAAAAAGAGCAGTCCAAACAAAATGGTGAGATTTGCTTCAAACCTGCGTTTTTGGTAATAAGAATTGTGTCTTTCTAAAATGTCTTTAATCTGGTTATGTTTATTAATTTGTATAATGTAAATATACCGACATTCTTGGACAACTAAAAACTGCTTTCACCTTAAAATATATTGATAATCCCCATAATAATAAACAAAAAGTAAAACAGAAGGCCATATGATGAATTACAGATCGTCAGAAGTGTTGTTTTCATAAACCTTTCCACAAGTACGAAACACGTACATGTATTGTCTTCTATAGATTTTCACTGCAGATTATTTGATAATTCCTTCCTACTTCCAAATCCCCACAATTTACAGTAAAATAACATGTTCTGCTAAATCTATTTGTCAGAAGGTGTAGAAACCCCGTACAGCATATTTGCATTTTCTGTGCACATTTTAAGCTTTCGAATTATGTTCCTAAACATCAAACTTTACACCTCTTGAAGTAACGTTTTTGTTTGTGATACCCTGGCCCGATGCCAACATGTCTTCTTTACACAACATGTCTTCTTTTGTCCTTTTTTAAATAAAAATAATTAATTAATAGCATTTGGTTTATGCTACAGCTGTGTGGACCAATGTTTTCTAGAGCTCATTTGATTGGATGAATGTTTGTAGTGCAGACATGGTCTATAAACCACAAAACTTCAATTTTGATTTAATGAGATCTTTTGTTTTTTCTGCTGGTGGATTCATTCTGTTTCGGACAACCTTTTTTTTCTTTTGGTCTATTTTATTCAGGCATGATTGCAAAAAATCTGCTCAACTCTCTCAAGATTCGCAGTCGTTTGCAACTCCAGCCAATTTCTCGTTCAGCATGTGCCACTGGTAAGTACTACAGTATGTGCTTATGTACTTTTTTTAAATTATTATTCAGGACACTATCACATATCGTTTTCTGTATTGTGACATTCATATACTGTGTATGTCACTGTCTAACAAAAGTTTTAAATATATTTTTAGTATGTTCTTCATAGGTATTCAGCCCTTCTGGAAATAAAATCTTAAATTGTTTTAGCAAAATGATTTAGAGTAAATAGAAAGAAATCTTATTTAAATTTATTTAAAAAAATTATTTTAAAAAACATTAAAAATTACAATTATTTTGTGCAGATAATTTTCATATTTTCAATTT